GTTTTAGGTTATTCAATGTTTCAGGTTACCTTGTGTGTTTGCCTTATAAAACAATAACCTTAAGGACATAATATGGTTGATGCTTCAAACATTGTTGTCGCCGCTATCGTCCCTTCACCCACGACGACCATCACATATGCAAAAACTTTACCCGATGTCTCCAAAGTCAAAGTCTTTTTTGGCCAAAATGTTCGACGGTGGTAGGAGCGTATCCATTTCATATTGGACATGCACAAAGTTGCTTACGCTCTTATCGTTCCGAAGCCAGATTCCACTACCTCAACATTCAAATTAGATGATTGGTCTCGGGTCAATAAGGTTTGTTGTCATACTATTCTTAGTGTTTTATCTAACGATTTCTTTGATGTGTACTACTCATACAAGGAAGCCAAAGATATATGAGACTCTACGATAATGAAGTACACTAAGAAGGACACTATTAGACAACGCTCCATCATTGGTAACTACTATCATTGGGAAATGACTGAAGAAAAGGACATTAAAATTCAAATAAATGAATACCACAAACTACTAGAGGACCTCAAATCAAAAAACCTTTTTCTCCCTAATGTGTTCATTTTGGAGCTACTCATTGAAAAATTACTAGAAAATTGGACTAACTACAAGAAACACCTAAAGCATAGGCATAAAAAAATATCACTCACAGATTTGATCACCCACATCATAATAGAGGATGCAAATCGCAAGGAGTGTGCTGTGGCAAAGGCGAAATCATTGGCAACAAAGGCAAATGTGGTATAAGTGTAGGACCAACCCTATAAAAGAGGTGTGATCAAAAGAAAAATAAGTACAATTCTAAGAATTCTTACCCTTGTGCTACTAACCCCACCTTTAAGAAAAAAAGGCAATTGCTTTGTCTATGGAAACCAAGGCACCATGCACCTCAATGCCATTTTTGAGCGTTTAGAAACGACAATCCTCCTAAGGCCAAGGTTAACCTAGATGAAAGGGATGATGTTATTGTAACGGTCGTTTCTCAGGCAAATATTATGACTAATGTGAGCAAATGGGTGATAGACTCTAGAGCTACTTGCCACATATGTGAAAGCATAAATGCTTTTGCCTCCTACACTACTGTGGGGGATGTAAAAGAGCAAGTGTACCTTTGTGATTCTAGGACCACTTTAATTCTAAGAAAGGGCAAAGTTCTTCTAAAGCTTACATCTGGTAAAATGCTATCTTTAAATGATGTGTTGCGTGTTCCTTCCATCAAAGTCAACTTAGTTTCTATAGCACTGTTAGGAAAAGTGGGGTTTAAAGTATCATTTGAATTTGACAAAATTGTTATGACTAAGAATAATGTTTTTGTGGGTAAGGGTTATTATTACCAAGGCCTCTTTGTACTGAATGTATCTGGAATAACTAGTGAAACTACATCTCCTTTTGCTTATATGATTGATTCTTTTTATATGTTGCATGCTAGATTAGGACATTAAATTATGTGTATGTTTTATAATTGAAACAACTAGGTATGATTAACATACATGATTAACAAGTTGGTAAATGTGAAATATGTATTGAATCAAAGCTTATTAAGAAAACATGTCATCATGTGTTTCATGAATCTAAATCGCTTAGTTTAATTCATTCTAATCTTTTTGATTTAAAATAAACCATGTCTAGAGGTGGTAATAACTATTTTGTAACTTTTATTGATAATTTTTGTAGATACACAAAAGTTTACTTGATTAAACATAAAGATGAGGCATTTGACATGTTTTTATCCTATAAAGCGGAAGTTGAAAATTAGTTAAATAAAAAGATTTGATCTAATAGGGGTGGTGAATACACTTTATTTAATGACTACTGTGAAAATGAAGGTATAATTCATGAGGTAACCCCACCTTATTCACCTGAATCCAATGGAGTAATTGAGAGAAAAAATATAACTCTTAAAGAAATGATGAATGCCTTGTTGATTAGTTCTTCCGCTCCTGATAATCTTTGGGGAGAAGCCTTATTAACTGCTTGTTTTTTACAAAATAGAATATCTCATAAAAGAATTGGTAAAACACCTTATGAGTTATGAAAAATGATATCAGCCTAACCTAAAATATTTGAGAGTGTGGGGGTGCCTAGCTAAAGTTTTGTTACCTAATCCTAAGAAAAGGAAAATAGGGCCTAAAACTTCTCATTGTATGTTTAATGGTTATGTTGAACGTAATGCTGCCTATAGGTTTCTTGTCCTTAAAAGTAGTGTGGTTGATTGTAATACGATAGTAGAAACTAAGAATGTTGGATTTTTTTAAGACAACTTTCCTTTGAGGATTGGTACTAGTTCTTCTCAACCTTCACCTTTAGAAACCTCTAGTGAATCTATGTTTGAGGACTTGAGGAGAAGTAAAAGGCAAAGGAAAGAAACATATTTTGGGAATGATTTTTATACCTATCTAGTTGAGGATGATCCTATAAGTTTCTCAGAAACTATTAGTTCTTTAGATGCAAAATTTTGGAAAGAAACTATTAGGACTGAAGTTGATTCAATCAAAGAAAATAATATATGGACTTTAGTGGACTTACCTAAAGGAGCAAAATCAATGGGTTGTAAGTGGATCTTTAAAAGAAAGTACAATCCTGATGGGTTTATAGAAAAATATAAGGCTAGATTAGTAGTTAAGGGATTTACTAAAAAACAAGATATAGATTTATTTTATACCTTTTCTTGTTGCCAGGATTTCCCCTATTTGAGTGTTAATAGCCTTAGCATCTATCCATATGCTTGTGATACATCAAATAGATGTAAAAACAGTTTTCCTAAATGGTGAAATAGAAGAGGAAATTTATATGACTCAACTTGAAAGGTGTGTGGTTTCTAGTCAAAAGAATAAAGTGTGTAGACTCTTAAAATCTTTATATGGTTTAAAACAAGCACCAAAACAATGGCATGAAAAATTTGATCAAGTTTTACTTAATGATGGGTTTACTCCCAATAGTCCTAATAGATGCGTGTACACCAAATCTATGAATGATGATTGTGTTATCATATGCTTATATGTGAATGATATGCTTATTTTTGGTACTTGTGATGATATAATGTTCAAAACTAAATTTTTTCTTACTTCTAAGTTTGATATGAAAGACATGGGTGAGGTAAGTGTAATATTGGGAGTTAAAGTTGTAAGGAAAGGTGATAGCATTTTACTATCCCAAGGATATTATGTTGAGAAACTTCTTAAGAAGTTTGATTATTATGACTTAAGTCTATGACTACCCCTTATGATGTTAACTCTTGACTAAAACAAAATAAAGGAGTTTCTCTTGCTTAATCTTAGTATGCCCAAATTATAGGGAGTTCGCTACATCTAATGAACTTTTCCAAACCCGACATTGCATATGTAGTAAGTAGACTAAGTAGATATACCTATAGTCTCAATCAAGACCATTGGGAAGCTCTTGCAAGACTCATGAGATACTTGAGAGGTACCATGGATTATGGTATTGAGTATAGTGGATTTCATGTTGTATTAGAAAAATACAATGATGTTAATTGGATCTTCGATTCAGATGACACAAAATCCACTAGTGGCTATATGTTTACACTTGGTGTGGTTCGATTACATGGAGATCAATCAGTCAATCTATTATTGTTAGATCAACTATCAAGTTAATTAGAGTTTGTAGCTTTGGAGATGACTGCTACTGAGGCCAAGTGGTTGAGAACTTGTTGTTAAACATTCCTCTAGGAGTGAAACCAACCCTATCATCGTCAATACATTATGACAACCAATCGATAATAGCCATAGCTAAGAATAAATCTTACAATGAAAAAAATAGACATATACAATTGAGACATAATATAGTAAAGCAGCTGTTGAAGGATGAAACGATTTCCATTAGTTATGTGATGTCAAAAGGAAACTTGGAAAATCCTTTAATAAAACCCCTAGGAAGAAAAATGATTTATGAAACATTAAGAGGAATGAGACTAAAGCCAATTGTAAACAAGCAAGTGATGGTAACTTAACCTTTATGATTGGAGATCTCATGAATGAGGAACAAGTCACCTATTAGTTCTGCTAGCACTAAAATTGATTTCTTAAATCTTTGTCCTTTCCTATAATGTGGAAAAGTGCTAAAGTTGCCTTAATGTGAGGATAAGTTTTATTGTTAAGCTTTATGATGAGAAAGATTGACACATTATAAAATTTTTAATGATTTTCATATCTCTTATGAGTGGTGTATGATTTGTGGTATGCACTTGATGAAATCACCTATGAGTATTAAGTGTGGTCACTTGCACGAGATCTTGGCGAGATCTCTAGAGCACTCATGAATATCGGGCACACGCATGGTCTAATAACACAAAATAGCAATAACGACGATAATTGTGGGGGTGTAATGTTATTGATAAAAATGCTAATATACACCAAGTGTTTTGGTTCATATAGCTTGCTACACCAATCTCTCTGTACATTAAGTATTATCAATCTAGGTCTAATTCATATAGCTTTCTACACTAGGTCCGACGTATTACAGCCAATATGAGAACCCAAATCCTTCCTTCCTAATCTCTCCTTCTTAATCTTAAATAAAATAAAATATTTTTATCCTTTTGAAATATGCGGGGGATTGTTGCATATATATTAATAATATATGACACATGCATGTTTATTTCAAAAAAAGTCTCATATTGTTTGGACCACTCCAGATTTGAACCTTTATATATTAAAGTGTTCCTAACACTTTCAAAGAGGCAAGCAAAGGGTGTTGGACTCGCACATGAAAATGAACCTTGTGAATCCGTTGCAGTTCAAATCTGTCGATTTGTCTCTTAGTGCGAAAAATGAAATTTAAAAATATTTTTATTTTTTATTACATTAAATTATTTTAATTAATTAAGACAAATCTATCTGAAATATATGATCGTTTTTTTTATTACATTAAAGTTTATCCATTAAATTTTTGACCGGTTTATAAAATAAAGTTTATCCCTTAATTTTTGAACGGTTTATAGACTTCTCAAAGGCTCCATAATTCTATAAGTAGAGGTCTCTACAACATTATGTGTTTATTTAGTATTTCATGTTATTTAATATTCCATGTTAACAATATGTGACTGGCCTTATAAAAACAACATAAGATATTTCATCTTTCCCTTAATAATTAACTATGATAGAAGTAACATATTTGCAGGGACAATGTTTGTTTTGGGAACTAGAAAGTATTATGTGCTGATCATCTTTCTGTAGCCTTTTACCTGACTAAAAGTAAAACAAGTGATATTCATTTCAAAGCAAGATTGCAGACCCCTGGAACCGCAACACCTCTGTAAGCCTTGCAAACATGGTATGTAAAATTTGCATAGTCCTGAATTAATCACAAACATTAGTATTGACGACTTTATTATCAATAATCTAAAAGTCTTACAATGAATGACAAAGTAAGAGAAAGGACTAACTTTTCCAATAGGTTTATTGTTCACCACCACCCATGGCACAAATGAATGAGGTGGGTGAAGTTGTTTGATTTTATTAATATATTCTCTTCCAAGCTGCATAAAAATTAAAATTTAATTTAAGTACCACAAAATAAACTTACACCCTCAACATCACATTAGTCCGATCGAAATTGAATTCCAATTTCTTAAATAATTTCTTGGCTTAAATTTTGTGTGAGAAAAAAATAACATAATTTAAAAGGAAGATTTTATTAAAAATAATCAGTTTTATAATAAAAATTAGTTATTGACAAAATTGGTGAATACTTTATATAAAAAATATGCTAAGGAAAAAAGTCTTATACAATTTAACATAAAGTTTTAATTATGATAAAATACATATGTAACATCATAATCAACCACTAACTTCTTTAAAAATTTCTAATGAAATTATGAATCCTCTAACTAATCATAATGCAAGTTTACATGGAAAAATATAAAATATAAAAAATTAAAAAAAAATTGAATACAATCTTGGGTCCTAGGTAGGGATGACAACGGGGCGGGTCGGGTACAGGTTTAATGATACTCGTTCTCGTCCCTGTTCTTGCGACTCAAACCCATCCCCGTACCCGTACCAGCCGGGTATATGATTTCCATCTCCATTCTCGTGCCTGTACTCGTACCCGTACATGTAAAAAATTATTTTTTTTAAAAAATATATTTTAAATTATTTTTTCATTAAATTATAATTATAATTAAATTATATCTCTATCTCATATTTTAATCAAGAGATTTCTTAATAATTAAACAATTATAAATGTTTCACATTATAATAAATAATTAAACATAATAAAATATTAAATTTTTTTAACCTAATTCAATTGGGAACGGGTACAAGTACGAGGCTGGTATGTATATACTCGTACCTGTACCCGTACCTGATTTAATATATCGAGTTTTACCCGTACCCGTAACTGGTCAAACCGGATATTCCCCATCAAAATCGGAACAGGTTCGGGTATTACCCACGAGTAAGGGTTCATTTGTCACCCCTAGTCTTAGGTAGTAGTAGTAGGACACACAAATTCATTTGATTCGAAGAAATGTTTTTTATTTTTATTTTTAATTAAAAATATCACCTTTATTTTATTTTTTTATTTTTTATTTTCAAAAGTTTGTACAAGAGATAACGAAAACAGGAAAATAAATATAAAACTTTTGCAAATTATTTCTTATAAAAAACTTTTCAAAATAAGAAATAAAGTTTAAAAAAAAAAGTAGTATTTTTATAATTAAAAGTAGAAAACGTTTTGCAAACCAGACTCTTAAACCCGTAGAGGCTTGAAGTTATTATACAAAGTTTAATACAACATTTATCATTTGTCATACCGCTATGGTCATAATTAAGAGATATTATGATTAAGTGATTAACTATAACTGCCAATGACTTAATTAACCAAACAGATTCACGGAATAAACATTTTTCCATTTCCATAAAGTGAAAGAAATGTGAAATAACCTTTGTTCCATTTCCTGTGTAGAAGCAATTGAGAAAAGCTTTCTTAGGCAAACCCAACTCGTTTAAACACTCCATCCATTTGTCAACCATTCCACTAATTGCCTTATACTCCATGCAGTTAATCATCTCATATTGTATGTCCTGCATCACAATATTTTTTTACATGTCTAAGATCCATATCACAATTATATATAGAAAACATGATTGCTTAATTACCATCGGAATTATTAAGTTCAGGTTACTAAATATTCATAATTTCGGTGAATTTTTACATTATATGTATATAACATTTTAAGTTTATAATAATATATTATATGCCTTGTAAAAACTAATTATTATTAGGAACTATGTAATCCAAAATTATTTAATAATATTTCAATTAATGAAGGTAACTTAGACTACAATAAATTGTGTTTTTAGCAACATTAGAAAGATGTTGTTAAATTATAAGTAAATATTATTAATGTATTTTTTGCGTCATTTTATCAAATATAAAATAAGGTCTATCCTATTAAAGACTTTTAGCAACATTACATATTAATAAAAATATTTTAAAAAATATTATCAAAGTTGTATTTTGTAATATTTTAATAATATTTTTAAGTTTTGTAAGTTTTATAAAATGACAATTAGTATGAATATAAATTGTATTATCACTTATATTTTATAGATTTTGAGTTTGTTTGGATACAAGATAAAAACAGTTTTGAGAGATTTTCTATTAAAAATAAATAGTATTTTTTTAGAAGAATTTTTTTTAAAAACACTTCTGAACTTTGGATATTTTAAAAGTTGTATCCGAATAGACTCTTTGTCTACAAGTCCATTGAGGTTGAAGATATTTTAAGTTTTTTTACAAGAGCAAATATTTTATGTTAATCATCATTAAATCTATATTACATATCAAAGTTTGTTTATTTTAAGGTTCATTATGTGACTATATATACTCTATATGTGTCATTATTTTATCTTATGTAGAACTTTAATTTTGAAAAATAATTAAATATTATATAAGTACACTTTTTATATGTTATTTTTTTATTTGATGTGAGACTTAATTTAAAAAAAATTAGAAATAATAATATTAAGATTAAAAAAAAAGGTCACTATATCCATAATTTAATATTTTTTTGAAAAAAAATTACAATAACCTATTAATTTAATCTATAACAATATTTTAGTAAATATAAATAGGTAAATATTGTTAAAAATATTAAATGTAATAGAGTTAATAATATATTTTACTTACCACTTCAGACCAAATATTAAGGACACAGGATTCCAAAGAATTTAGCTTGCATTCATCAGGCCCTTTCTGCAATGTAGTGTATAAGTATGAGTCATATATCAAACTTCTTACACCTCTTATCCAAATTCAAAAGAAAAAATTGTGAATAATAGTAGAAAACCTGGAAAATAATTATAATTAAAATAGAAGAAAATTGATGAAGAGAATAAAGAAAATAACAATTAAAATTATGGGAAGGTTTTTTAAGGATTCTCCGCTGTTACCGAATATGCATGGATTGCATGAAACCTTAATAGAAATTAAAAGATACGGTTAAAGTTAAATCCTCTTTCCTGTTTCCCCTGATTAAAGTGAAAATCATAACTCATAAATAACAAAAGACACATATAAAGCAAATGAACGGTTTGCAAAAACTGAATTATATTAAATTAAAGAAACCTAAATATAGAGTAAGTCCTAATTAATCATATGATTTTTGTGTAATTATTTTCACTTGATATTCCCAGAAATGCATTAATGTTCATGTTTTCTTCTCACCTAAAATAAACTTAATTTTCATATACCAAAAAACAAACTCAATTTTCCTCAGTTTTCTCTGAGCCACTTGAGCTTGTGATAATTGATCAAAATTATTACCACTCTAAAGCAACCAAATTGAAATCAAAGCTAATTTTGCCAGTTTCATAAATTTCAGCCATGTCACATGCTGAATATTTGAATGCTTGGCAAAATGTGATACCTTGTAGCAAATCAAAGACAATAGGGTTTTCCTGGTTGTGGTGGAGTCGAGAATAGTGTACACAAAGTTGAGTTCGAACTCTGTTACACTTATTATAATTCTGATTGACAAAAGTAGACAATAATAAAGATAAAGTTAAACCTGACATGATATGGAATAATTGTTAGTATTATTGATGTAAGCATTGGCCCAAGGGACTAGCTGAAGATTAATAATGCTGATGAGCTTGTTGTGAAAGATATTTTGCAGATCCCTAACAATGAAAGTTGCACAAGGTAGGCATAGACTATCATAGTACACTGAAAGATTAACTTTCTGATGAGCAATTGAAGCAATGTCGCCACCATGATCACCATTGTGTGAAGTAGAAGAATAAGATGCACCCTCAGATTCATGGATGAAAAAGAAAAGGACTAACATCAAGACAACGGTGATCAATAGTTTTGGAAAAACCATTTTCTTTATATTGCTAATGTAGAAAGACTTTCTTATGTGTCTCTGAGTGTGATGAGGATGTGAATTGTGAATGAATATATATAGAGTGGGGTAGTGTTTCAGTTTTGAGAACTTCAATCTATGTGTGACAACTCACATAGTTTTCTTCATCTGTTGGTAAATCAAATTCGAATTTCCTTTTCCAGCTAGGAAAATATAGCTAAAATCCTTGATCTCTCTTTTTTGTTTTTAAGTAAAAACTAGAGGGCATGAAGCCCGAAAATACAATAAAAACAATTGTTGGGAACGGAAGATTCTATAACCTTATAAGACATGATTATCATCTATTACTCATCCTTTGAGCATTAATTATATATATATATATATATATATATATATATA